CCGTGCTGCGCCGCCCGCGCCATGTCCCCGCCGCGCCGCGCCAGCCCCGGCCGCGCCGTAGCCCCCGGAGCCCGCTGCGCACCGCGCCGGCGCTCGGCATGGCACTGAGCGCTCCCGCGGGACGCCCGCGCATCCTCCCCGACGGTAGGTACGGGCGGCGGGACGGGCACACGCGGGCATCGCGCGCACCGGCCCCGGCGCTGCCCCGGGACGGGCCCGCGCTGCGGGCGCCACAGGTCCCCGCGCGGCAGCCCCGCGCTCCTCCCGCGCCCTCCCGTCRGTGCCGGGGAAGTTTCGGGGTGAGGATTCACTGCTGGAACTTAGCGCCGAGGTCGCCCCGGTTTTTAGCACCTGAGGTGCGGCGGCTGCGCCGGGATTGTCGCGCCGGGGACACTGGCCCGGCGGAGCTGCGGGCGCCGGGAGGGGACAGCGCGGGTCCCCGGTCCCCTGTCCTTGTGCACGGGGTGGTCTGCAGGGCAGGGAAAGCAGCGGCTGCCACGGGAGGTTTCCTTCCTAAATATAGAACCTCGCATCCAGGTCGGATAGTTACTCCTCCCACCGGGTTATTGTGTCATGCGATTTTACAAACTGTTTACGTTACAAGCGGGGAATTCTGAAGCCTCTGAAAGTCCTTCCTAACATTTTGGCTACCGGTTTGTGAATGGCAACTCCAAGCACCGGTCTTTGATGGCAGAAAATACCATGCGATCGCTGCGGAGCTTGTGTTCGGATGTGTTGTACACTGAGCCTGCTGTGATTCATAAGCGAGGTGTCACATGTGCCTGAGAATCCCTGGTCCACTGGAAGTGTTCCCAGATGTCCCCCAGTCCCTGAAGGCTGCCAGGCCCCCTCCTCCAGCCGAGGGGCTGCGTGGGGAGCCCAGCAGCCCTTTCCGAGGGCAGAACTGGCACATCCTGCCAGGCMGGGCAGCTCCCCGAGCAAAGTCGTGTTCTTGGCAAGGGAGTCGCCCTGGCGCTTGGGTGGCTGAACTCGGTGCTGTTGAAATGTGCCACACTTTGCCCGCTTGAGAGGGTGCAGCGTCACCTGCGAGGGCAGGGTTATTGATTACCCGACTTTATTGTGGTGCGCAGTGAAAGCCGAGCTGCTGATTTGCCTGATGAGACAAGACCTGCTCGCCCTATAGATGGGAAAAGGTCAGGAGTGTCTTYGGCTTTGAACCCTTTGGGATGCTGTCTTGTCCATATCGTGCCCAGTCGCTCCTCACCAGCCCCTGATGTGCAGCAGGGGGAACTTGCCTAAAGAGGAGCCTGTTCTTGTGTCTGCTGTATTGGCTTTATGGGCTTCAGAGATCCTACAGATGTTGTTCAAAATGCTGGATAGTTTGGGGAGCACACAGCGGGAAACCCAGCTGCTGAATATACTACAGCAAAATACACCGTTTTGTTTGGAGATTTGTGCAATTTTTATAGACTTCCTCAGCTTCAGTGCATCGTGATAGTTATCTAATCAGAAATATATTGAAATATGTATATAATATGTAGAAATATATTTGGATTTTTGGTTTTCTAGCAAATGTATTCCAGAAAGATAGATCATTTCCCTGTAGTGTCCTGAGCAGAGCACAGGAGCAGCATGTGCACTGGCACAGAGTAGTGGAGAGCTCAAATTCAGAGTTACACAGCAAGTAGTAATGAGGAGAACGGGCTCTCCAGTGAAGCCAGACATGGAAGCTCGTGTGGATGGGAGACATTCATTTATTTTGCTACCAAATCTTTAAACTTTTTCTGGAAGCTGTAATAGGAAAGATGTAAATAGGAAAGAAGCAATTACTTACAGGTTGTTTCTGTTATTCTTTCAGAACTATGTGTTAGGATTATTTGYGCTAGAGGAAAAAAGAAAACTACTTTGAAAATTTTAAAGTAAATGGYAAATTTCAGTGAAGTTAAGCAGTAAACTTTGTGGCAGTTCCTGGTTTTGAGCCACTCAGTTTATGTCTATATTAAATTATTTCAATGTTTTAAGACACACACCAAATACTCAGAAATAGCTCGGGGTTAAAGATTAAAATTAGMAAGTGAGTAGTTCATAATTAAACTCTCATGGTGTTGGAAGCAACATTAAATTTCAGAGATAATGATGTCAAACCCAACTTCTGCTTGTTAGTACCGCCAAGAAATTTGGTAGGATGGTTTGCACTTGGATCGAGGGCTTGCCTATGCACAGAAGTCACATTGTTTTGCCCTAAATCATGCAAACTCCCAAGATGCACTTGCAGTGATAAAAAGATTTTAATGCCAGCCTAGCTCATTCTTTTAAAATTAGGGGAATAATGTGTATACCAGGACAACTGAACTCATGGCTTGTAATGAAATAGTTACATTACTACCAGAAGAATAGRTCCTCAGCCAAAGTAATAATACCAATGAAAATCATAGTATGGATCAGACTTTGTTATCGTTAAAATGATAGACCTCTGTATCACCCTCAYTCCATCCTCTCTAATAAGGAAGTCAGATGGATACAAAGCTGTATTTATTTTTTACGACCTGGCTAACACCCTTCTCCYACATAGACCTTTACACCTTGAGGCCGCGTTAGAGCACCCACGTTGTGCCTGCTCGCTGCAGCCAGCAGGACCCTCATGTACCGCCGAGCAAAACCTGCCCTGAGAAGCCAACGCTGAGGTTCCCCGTGTCCCTGCAGTCCCTCGTTGAGCTCTCCTTGCCCCACACGCTGCCGAGGATGCTGTTCTTCCTCCTCTTGGTTCACCTCTTGGTTCCTTCAAGGCAAGTACCAGGATGCTGTGGTACCCAAGAACTTGCATGGGCCATGAGGAGAAAAGACCTTCTTGYCCTGGGGCCAATATGCTGAGTGAAAAGCGCCCCTGAGCAGAGCCCATTTATTATCTCTAAAGTCCCACTTCAGGTCTGGTTTAAAGTGTGATTTTAGTGGTGCCACTTCCCTGGTTGTAGGTGAGATTTAAGTGGTGCATGGGCCCTGACAAACCTTCTGTGCAAAGAGGTGTCTGCTTGCTCTACATCTCCCCAGCCTCTGAGCTGTGAGATTCAATCAAATTGCATAGAAGTGTATRCAGTTAATGAGTTTGACCTACTTAGTATGGCTTCATTGGCTTTGGCCTTGTCCACACAGCGAGATTACACCAGTCGAGTTCAAGTCCATTTTTAAAGTGATTTGATTCACCTGATGTGAACTGTCCCGAGGTCATTCTTATTTGGGTTCAAATAAACTTAATTTTGGGTTAACCTAAACCTGCAGTTAGTCAATTTACCCAAAACTGAAATTAGCCATGCCTAAACTGAAAGGAGAACTCACGTCTCTAAATAATGACACAACTTGCCCACGAAAGCAGGACCTTCTGTAGAATCTGGCCTACAGTGTAATTACCAAGAAATCTGTGAGAGACTGAAAGCTATTCATAGCAAAGTGTTTAAAAAAAAATAAAAGGCAAAACTTAAATATCCTGGTGAGACAAATGAGGGAGTCTGGATGACCCAGTCCTGAAATACTGGAGGCACTGGCATCTTCTCTCACAGGCTTTCCATCACTTCTCAGCTGCGGAGGTGGAGAAGCGGTTGTGTCTTGTAAGTGAAGGCCCTATACAGTGGAAAATAATAATAATAATTAAAAAAAAAAAAAAAAAGGATAAAGGATACAGGGCATTACAGACCTGGTGGTTTGAATGCACTGGTATGCAGTGGGTCATGACGTATTTTGAAAAAAATAATAATTACACATAGAAATAATGAGGAAGCAGGTTAAATTATGACAAGATTTTATCAAAGATTGATTGTGCAGTACTGTTCTAATGTCTCTTTTGTATAATAGGTTTCTTAAGTGGAGTGATAGGAGATTTTAGATGAATTACAGTCTTCTAAAGCCAAGTGTTTGATACCATGTCCCCTAAGACATCATTTTTTCAGCTGAAGAGACTGGCCCAGTACAAGAATTGAAAGGYGCAAAAGGAGCGRTCTAAGGAAAAGGTAAAACAGTTGYAGTCAAAGAAAGTCATCTGGGTGGCGAGGGGTTAGTGCTGGTCCCCCGGGACGGGTCTTGCTTGTGTTTAGCACGGCTGCTTTGACCGATGAGAAAGAAGTCAACGTGGACTCATGTGCTGTGGATGGCACRAAGTTTGGAGGTGTTGTCCCTGATCAGGAGCACTGGATTATCATACAAAAGCATTTAGATGCCTCTTGATTGTAGTGATCACAATAGACATTTAGTAATAAGAACTGCTGTAAACCCAAAGCCCATTGACTGGCAGTAGTGGAGGCAGCGACGTGGCCGCACTGGCTCATCGGGAGATCCTTCTGAGCCGTCACGGGACAGAGGTTTGGAAGAGAATATTGCCATTCTTGACTGCTCAAAGGAAAATATGATTAAAAATGCAAAGAAAAGTGTTTTTTTTTTTTTTTTTTTTTTTTTTTTTTTTTTTTTTTTTTATCAGTGTGCAAAGCACTGGTACGTGTGTTTTGCATCGGTCATGCCGTTGCACACTAGGGTATGGTGCATACCACCGGATACCCCAATCAAGAAAATGCTAAATGAGAACAGTAGGAGGGCAAGTGAAGTGATTACATGAATGGAGTAGCTGTTTTATGAAGTGAGATTAAAGAGCTTAATTTGTTTAGCTCCATCCAATTGAAGAAATGAAGGGATGGTTACGATGAGTCTTTGTACACACCATTGGGGCTAAATAACAAGAAGGCAGAAAAACTGTTTAAGTCAAATAATAGCATCAAAACAAGCTCAAATTCTATAAGTTGATCATGAATAAATTTGGGAAATTATAAGAAAGCTTCTGACTACTGAAAGACTGAAGTTGCGTAATAGTCTTTCAATTACGGTAGTAGTTTTGAGATAGCTCTCGATAATCTTATGGAAGAGATTGTACAATTGAATAAGAGAATTCCTGGAGATGGGATATTACGTTTGTAGAGCAAGTCCTTGGGTCTCCAGTGTATTAGTATTTTCAAGGGCAAGGCTGAGAGTGGTTCAGTTCTTGTTTGCACTGTGTGATACTAACTCCATGCATCGAGACTTCTGCTAATTTCTAGCGATCTGGGGCAAGGGTTTTTTCCCCGTTACTGCAGATTCAACTCTCTGCTTCTCTCTCAAATGCTGGACCCTGGCCACAGCTGGAGAGGTAACGAAGATGTGCAGTC